GCTCTTCAGGAACCGTTTATTGAGCTCTTCAGGAACCGTTTATTCAGCTCTTCAGGAACCGTTTATTGAGCTCTTCAGGAACCGTTTATTCAGCTCTTCAGGAACCGTTTCCCACTTCGAATGTGGTTTTATTTTTTAGAAACCGGATCATCAGAATCTTCTAGAAATCGGGTTATCTATTTAATGACTAATGACTATGTTATATTATCTTCTCTGCAAAAGAAGATTTCATGTGTATAGTTTATAATAGTTGTATCCAAAGCGAGCAGATTGAGATTTATTTATTCCATCGTTGATCCTATAGTTGTGGGCAGACAATCCAACTAAAAGAAATAATCTAGTGTTACCATGGTTACAATGAGTTTTCTTAAATCGATCGTCCACGTTTTTCTAGCAATAAGGGATTTTTGATATATTTCCATTGACCAATGACCAGACCATATCTCTATTCCCTAGAGGGCTAAAGGTTATGTAGTCATTCTGATAACTTTATACCACTTAGGTGTATTAATAGAGTTCAATTAATAAACGGGCCCTCCAATCTATCATAATCTGGTGATACATAATGATTTATGACATTTCAATTTAACGGTCTATTGTATTGCTCTTTTTATTGCTGCATAAAGCTATAAAGTTAATTTGTATACTAATGTAAGATATCATAATTGGGTCATCAACAATTATGTTTGACAATTCTACACCCCAATACCTTACCCAGAGGCTAGGACTATGGCATAATGTCCATGATATATTTTTCTTTATCTAGGACTATAGCCTCCTTCGACCAGATTTCACGACTTTGATTAGATTCTTACTGTTCTGTCGGGGAACTACTCAAATATATTTTTATTTATTTGTTGTTTTTACGAGGTGTTCTAAATCTGCAGACCGTTAAAGAGTTACATTTCTTTTGACTTTGTGCTGGTTAACATTAAAGAGGCTGTAAGTTCACACGACGTCATGGCAGGCAGGAAGGTATACCAGGGGGTCCTGACAAATTGGGGGCTCTTATGGTTCACTTTGCGAGCCCTATTCGAGCCCTACAACCATTTCCGATGTACTTAATCGTGTAGTGGTCTCTCCCATCTGATCTTACCACTTTCTTAGTGGTCTCTCCCATCTGATCATACCAGTTTCTTAGTGGTCTCTCCCATCTGATCATACCAGTTTCTATCATTCAAAACATGTGTGTAGACGATTTACACAAGTAATTTGAAAGCTCCTGCTAATAAAATCCCTTCGTATCACTTATATGTTTTAAATATCCCCCTCCAGATGTGTGTAGTGGACTCTCCCATCTGATCATACCACTTTCTATCATTCAAAATATTCGTGCAGTAGTGGTCTCTCCCATCTGATCTTACCACTTTCTTAGTGGACTCTCCCATCTGATCATACCAGTTTCTTAGTGGACTCTCCCATCTGATCATACCAGTTTCTTAGTGGACTCTCCCATCTGATCTTACCACTTTCTATCATTCAAAACAATTGGTGATTTATTCTTCCTGCTTCATCAGTATTCAATATACGTTTTACCTTGTTGATATGATACCTTAGTTCGTTTGATTATGGCGGGTTAAATTTGGCGGTTTTTCGGGAAATTCAGCCATAATATAACCCGCCATTATTTTTACCCGCCATAATAAAACCCGCCGAGTCAACTTTTGAAGTTCTGAGAGGGTATTTGGCATAATAATTTTATCGTTCCTTTATTACAGTGAAACAAGCGTCATGAACTCACTTTCTATATTCCGACCATAACGAGGTGGTTTTATTCGAAAAAATCAAATATTTTGGTTGTAATGGACGTACAAGTATTGTTAAACTGATTGATACCGTGCTATGATACTTATGACCTATTTAAACTTACTTCTATTCATATCAACAGAGATATTATACTACAATACTTTTAGTTTAAAATGTTTTTTACTTCGAAACTGCAAACAAAAACGCAGTCTGGAAGGAAAATTTGGTAGAATTTTGCAATATGGCAGGTAAATTCGGTGGATTTTCAAATTTTTTTCTGAAAATAATGTAAATTAGTGGCGGGTTAAAGATATTACAAGTTAGAGTGCTTTCCCTTTTGAGATGATGCTGTTATACTTGTTATAACAGCATCATCATGCTTGTTAATAACATCATGATAACAGAAACTTGCTATGGTGCTATAGAGTTATAGCACCATGTTAAATTTAGCACCGAGGCCACATAAACTTCTAACAGTCAAAAGAGCAGTTTCCAACCGACAGCCCCATTTCCCATTGAGACACTTTCTCCTTGAATTTTAAAGTTGAAAATAATTTTAATAATCTTATGATATCCTTCTGAAATTAATTAAAGGTACATTATCAAAGATCTTACATATTAGGAATAAAGACCCCCATATTTCGCTCGCAAGGTTGGTTTGCTTTATAATTGAGTATCTAGTAGGTTTGCAAATAGAATATTTACAAAGATTTTGATTTTTTATGAATTTCGTCCGCACAGCTTTAAGCATTTTGTTAAATTGATTAGAATATTGGGTGCTGAATTAATTGAGAAAACCCAGCTTGTGTTTAATCATTTCCGTACTCCAACCTTCAAAAATCTTTAACATTCTTTACCATCGTATTTTTCAATTAGTCTTGTATCACGTTTTTCACTCTACGAATTAACCAGATTCAGCTGTTGTAGAGACAAGGTGTTCATTAATCAAATATTTTTATTACTTTCAGCCCTTCCGTAATTTAATTGAAACGTTTAACCTGCCGAATCTTTGACCACGAAAAATGGTATCTTTCATCACAAAACGTTGCAACAATTTAGTCTGCCAGCGTCAATATTAATGGTTATTATGAATTAGGCCCTTCGTCAAAATAAGGGACGATAAAATACGTAAAGGTCTTATTCTTTGCAAATCTGTATTTGTTGAGCTGTAATTGATACCGGCACAGAAAGTTAATGTTTAATGAGTTATGTCAATTGTCTGCTCTGAACCGATTAATCTAGCTATATTTGTAAATTTTTATAAGGTTTCTCGATCTCGCAAATTTTATTAATTAAGGGAGGCACCAAACATGTCAAACTAAAAAGAAGACAGCACTAACAGAAGAACCAGACAAACTACAGAGAAAGAAGACAGCACTAACAGAAGAACCAGACAAACTACAGAGAAAGAAGACAGCACTAACAGAAGAACCAGACAAACTACAGAGAAAGAAGACAGCACTAACAGAAGAACCAGACAAACTACAGAGAAAGAAGACAGCACTAACAGAAGAACCAGACAAACTACAGAGAAAGAAGACAGCACTAACAAAACCAAACCACAGAAAAAACCCAACTTAAAATGATACCTGGAACGACTTCAACAGCATCACATCAGCCATGTTTCCGAGAATTTGGTGGTGTGCTGTAGGTCTCTGCCAATCCTGGAATTTCTTGGAATTTGTAATTATATCAGGCCGGTCGTGATGGGCTATATCAGGCTTGTGAGCTTTATCCTCTCCTTCATCCTTCCCTAATTCCTGTCATGAAAAGCAATTATCACTAAAATTAACAGAATTTAAATGTTTTTTATAGCAAAATCACGACGGGGCGGGGTGCTCACCTTATATAACAGCCGATAGATAAAAACAGCTAAATGAGAAGACGTCCTGTCATGAGTTATCAAACTGCCATTTTGCACTTTGTAGTGGGTGTGTTACCATGGTTACCATGAGTGATCACCTCTAGGGTGTAAGGACTGGAACTAATGGTTCGTTATTTGGTCACTCCTGTTTATAGACCTGAATAATGGTTGTCATTATTACACAACACACAACAATGGTTAAATAAGTACGGTTGATCCTCAGGAAGGGAAAGTTGTGGCCCCAAGGGATTCAATTTCGCAGTAAAAGGTAAGCCGATACTGTTATTCGGCTTATTGTTATTCACAGGGTCCATTTTGAGGGTATTGAAGTGGTTATCGGTTATTTGTCAACGGAAACAATTTCATAATTCTTCAATATTTTCTTAAATATTGTGAACGCAATCGTATAATGATAGTAAAACAGTAATTAGTTTTTAATCAATATAACGTTATTCAAACTCGAGAATTTTGGCTCTTAAACTTAATAAATTCGTAAATATGATGGTTGGAAGACACGTTTTTCAAAAAATGCTTGGAGTCGTGTCCAAAACCCTAGTGTTACCATAGTTACCATGAGTGTAACCATGGTTACCATGAGTAGCTACATTACCTATATAATATTCGTGTCCTTATCTTTTAACCAAAATTTCTGAGAATAAGCTTATATTATTTTGCTCGCCCTAAAATTATTACTCGATTTGGATTTTTACGGTTTTGCAGCCGAACAAAACGGTTTTACATAATTCCCATCTCCAACCCTAACCTCGACCAAAACCCTAGTGTTACCATGGTTAGTGTTACCATGGTTACCATGAGTGCTACATTTCACAAGGCTAGTAACATTGTATACATTACTTCAAAACCCTAGACAATTGAATTTGTGTTTTACTAGCAGCTGCCATGTGACCAAAACAGGTTTTGCCAATAACTCCTCAGTCCTCAGGGAAGCATTTTAACCCTACGTCATGGAAGCAATTCCGAATTAACGTAAAAAACGACATTATCTCAAAAATACAAAGACATTTTTAACAATGTTGATACCTTAATGTTTGGTTTCTGACATAATTAATGATTCAGTATATCAACTGTCTGTTTTAGTATTACAATACTGTTTTTGGTAAACTCATACACAGTCACACAGTCAAGTAGCCAAGTACTTTTCAAGATCACTTGGAGGATCTAACAGATATTATTAAACACATTGGTAAGTGAGTGTAACTGTAAATAATGAACAACTGGACCGGACAACTACGGGACAACAGAACCCAATTTTGACTTTTTATAGAAAAATAATTATAAATAAGTTAAAAATAACTTAACAGGTAAACAGGTTTCCAGTTTTTTACTGCAGTAAAGTAATTTCACCAAATAATAATACCCTCTCAGTAGAATCATGGCACAAAGCGCAGACGTGTCACATGTTAATATGAAAACTGGACTGGTAACACGTGTCAACCCTCCCACTCTTATCTACAAACAAGAACCCTCCTTCAGCAACCTCCCTCTAACAAATGTTAGTACCATCAGCAACCTGCCTCTAACTAATGTTAGTATCTTTTAGTTGCTTTCAACAACCTGCCTCTAACTAATGTTAGTATCTTTTAGTTGCTTTCAACAACCTCCCTCTAACCAATATTAGTATCTTTTAGTTGCTTTCAACAACCTGCCTCTAACTAATGTTAGTATCTTTTAGTTGCTTTCAACAACCTCCCTCTAACTAATGTTAGTACCTTCAACAACCTGCCTCTAACTAATGTTAGTATCTTTTAGTTGCTTTCAACAACCTCCCTCTAACTAATGTTAGTACCTTCAACAACCTGCCTCTAACTAATGTTAGTATCTTTTAGTTGCTTTCAACAACCTTCCTCTAACCAATATTAGTACCTTTTAGTTGCTTTCAACAACCTCCCTCTAACTAATGTTAGTATCTTTTAGTTGCTTTCAACAACCTCCCTCTAACTAATGTTAGTACCTTTTAGTTGCTTTCAACAACCTCCCTCTAACTAATGTTAGTATCTTTTAGCTGCTTTCAACAACCTCCCTCTAACTAATGTTAGTATCTTTTAGTTGCTTTCAACAACCTCCCTCTAACTAATGTTAGTATCTTTTAGTTGCTTTCAACAACCTCCCTCTAACTAATGTTAGTATCTTTTAGTTGCTTTCAACAACCTGCCTCTAACTAATGTTAGTATCTTTTAGTTGCTTTCAACAACCTCCCTCTAACTAATGTTAGTACCTTTTAGTTGCTTTCAACAACCTGCCTCTAACTAATGTTAGTATCTTTTAGTTGCTTTCAACAACCTCCCTCTAACTAATGTTAGTACCTTTTAGTTGCTTTCAACAACCTGCCTCTAACTAATGTTAGTATCTTTTAGCTGCTTTCAACAACCTCCCTCTAACTAATGTTAGTATCTTTTAGTTGCTTTCAACAACCTCCCTCTAACTAATGTTAGTACCTTTTAGTTGCTTTCAACAACCTGCCTCTAACTAATGTTAGTATCTTTTAGTTGCTTTCAACAACCTGCCTCTAACTAATGTTAGTATCTTTTAGTTGCTTTCAACAACCTCCCTCTAACTAATGTTAGTACCTTTTAGTTGCTTTCAACAACCTGCCTCTAACTAATGTTAGTATCTTTTAGTTGCTTTCAACAACCTCCCTCTAACTAATGTTAGTACCTTTTAGTTGCTTTCAACAACCTGCCTCTAACTAATGTTAGTATCTTTTAGCTGCTTTCAACAACCTCCCTCTAACTAATGTTAGTATCTTTTAGTTGCTTTCAACAACCTCCCTCTAACTAATGTTAGTACCTTTTAGTTGCTTTCAACAACCTGCCTCTAACTAATGTTAGTATCTTTTAGTTGCTTTAAACAACCTGCCTCTAACTAATGTTAGTATCTTTTAGTTGCTTTCAGCAACCTGCCTCTAACTAATGTTAGTATCTTTTAGTTGCTTTCAACAACCTCCCTCTAACCAATGTTAGTACCTTTTAGTTGCTTTCAACAACCTCCCTCTAACTAATGTTAGTATCTTTTAGTTGCTTTCAACAACCTCCCTCTAACTAATGTTAGTATCTTTTAGTTGCTTTCAGCAACCTGCCTCTAACTAATGTTAGTATCTTTTAGTTGCTTTCAACAACCCCCTCTAAATAATATTAGTATCTTTTAGTTGCTTTCAACAACCTCCCTCTAACTAATGTTAATATCTTTTAGTTGCTTTCAACAACCTCCCTCTAACTAATGTTAGTATCTTTTAGTTGCTTTCAATAACCTGCCTCTAACTAATGTTAGTATCTTTTAGTTGCTTTCAACAACCTCCCTCTAACTAATGTTAGTACCTTTTAGTTGCTTTCAACAACCTGCCTCTAACTAATGTTAGTATCTTTTAGTTGCTTTAAACAACCTGCCTCTAACTAATGTTAGTATCTTTTAGTTGCTTTCAACAACCTCCCTCTAACTAATATAAGTATCTTTTAGTTGCTTTCAACAACCTCCCTCTAACTAATGTTAATATCTTTTAGTTGCTTTCAACAACCTCCCTCTAACTAATGTTAATATCTTTTAGTTGCTTTCAACAACCTCCCTCTAACTAATGTTAGTATCTTTTATTTGCTTTCAATAACCTGCCTCTAACTAATGTTAGTACCTTTTAGTTGCTTTCAACAACCTCCCTCTAACTAATGTTAGTATCTTTTAGTTGCTTTCAGCAACCTGCCTCTAACTAATGTTAGTATCTTTTAGTTGCTTTCAACAACCCCCCTCTAAATAATATTAGTATCTTTTAGTTGCTTTCAACAACCTCCCTCTAACTAATGTTAATATCTTTTAGTTGCTTTCAACAACCTCCCTCTAACTAATGTTAGTATCTTTTAGTTGCTTTCAATAACCTGCCTCTAACTAATGTTAGTATCTTTTAGTTGCTTTCAACAACCTGCCTCTAACTAATGTTAGTATCTTTTAGTTGCTTTCAACAACCTGCCTCTAACTAATGTTAGTATCTTTTAGTTGCTTTCATCAACCTCCCTCTAACCAATGTTAGTATCTTTTAGTTGCTTTCAACAACCTGCCTCTAACTAATGTTAGTATCTTTTAGTTGCTTTCAACAACCTGCCTCTAACTAATGTTAGTATCTTTTAGTTGCTTTCAACAACCTGCCTCTAACTAATGTTAGTATCTTTTAGTTGCTTTCATCAACCTCCCTCTAACCAATGTTAGTACCTTTTAGTTGCTTTCATCAACCTCCCTCTAACTAATGTTAGTATCTTTTAGTTGCTTTCAACAACCTCCCTCTAACTAATGTTAGTATCTTTTAGTTGCTTTCAACAACCTCCCTCTAACTAATGTTAGTATCTTTTAGTTTCAACAACCTCCCTCTAACTAATGTTAGTATCTTTTAGTTTCAACAACATCCCTCTAACTAATGTTAGTACCTTCAACAACCTGCCTCTAACTAATGTTAGTATCTTTTAGTTGCTTTCAACAACCTCCCTCTAACTAATGTTAGTATCTTTTAGTTGCTTTCAACAAACTGCCTCTAACTAATGTTAGTACCTTTTAGTTGCTTTCATCAACCTCCCTCTAACTAATGTTAGTATCTTTCAGATGTTTTCAAATATTTTTAACATGCTCCCAAAGTTTTTATACTACCTTTCTCGACATGATCAGCACGTCTTATTTGCTATAATATGATACTAATCACTTTCATTGTTTTATATTTCCCCACACTGTACCGGCACTTTCTTATGAGCCACCAGAATGTTCTCCTTATCATCTCATTATAATTCTATATAATGTCCCTCAAATTAATGTTTAACAATCTGTTTTCCCCAAAATTACTGTTCCCTTTCTTTATTTCGAATGTAATCAAATATTTAGAAGCGTGTACATTGAATGTGGCTCACAGAACTTTAAATATTTCCAAGTACGTGATTTTATCGTTGTAGACGGATTAGTGCTCGTAAGGATGTTCTGTAACTTAAAGTAACTTAAATTAATTTATACCACCCCACTAGGTCCAGGGTGGCTCGAAGTCGTTACTTGTAGACCACCAGCCTGCGAAAAGGCCTAAGAGGGATGCGCCTGTCAAGCGATTCAGGTAACTTCAAGAGATATATACATATATACATACTTCAAGGGTTATTCAGACTATCATATTATTAATATTCTGTTTTTTGTGTGTGACTTTCTAGACATGGTCTTTGAACCGATATTTTTTGGCCTTATCTTTGGGCCGACCCACTTCCAGGTATGTTTTAAAATTAAATCCTCCTAAATTTAAATATATTCCGTGAGCTTCTGACGTCACCAAATTCTATTAACTTATCAGTCCCCTTATCTCCACCTTTCCAAGAAAAATCGTAATTGAGTTTCCAAGAAATGGAGAAATTAGGAGTCTGCTTCATTATCACGATATACAGAAGGGATGATGTAGAATATGCGTACTTTAACCTGCCTCTAAGTAAACCAGGGATCCGGATATACTGTTAGATACTGGTATCAAGTTGATTAGGGTTGAAACTAGTGCCAGAAGGTGTTTTAAACTTATACATCCTTTTTTGTATTTTGTGTTGTTTAGAATTAAAGGTGTTTGGTTAATTTTGTGCAATATTTGGAGTCATGGCTACAATACTGAGCCCCATGACGTATAGCGGAGGCTCCCTACAAATATGGTAGGCTCTCAGCTCTCAGCAGCGGTTATTTTCTTAGCTCAACTCAGAAAACATTCTAAAATCAACATTTTACTGTAATCTTAGCCTTTTGCCTTAGGTTACCCCTTTACGTTTGGAACGCACCTCCACGGTATCATCAATCTATAAAACAAGTAAAAAAGCCTTTAGACTTACCCAAATCCGAAAAGGTTAACATTTCTAGACTATTTGAAATCACCTCTTCAAGCCATAATAATAATAATATTAACATTATGTTTTGTCTGAGTGGAGCAATACTTGAAATTACAAGTGAGTGCTCACTATGAATAACCTAATGCTTACATATGTATTGAATTAAGATGACATGATCGATTGATCGTGGTACCCCAACAACTTAAAACAACTTAAATTAATCAAAAATATAACTTACGGTCACATGAGGTTTAGACATAAAATTAAATTTGTCGACCGTCGAGGTTTCAGCTTTCAGAACCTTACATAATTTTGTTAAATCCAAATTTAAAACAATTTTTATCAGCAATTTCGTTGCAATCTTAAATTCAAGTTTTTATGTAACAGAATTAATTAAGATTCTGTAGAATTGAGATAAGTCTTGAAAAGTTGTAACCAAACATGTTTTGTATACCAGATTACACAAGTTCCAATATTTTTCCTTACTCTTTAGTTTGAGAGTTTGGTGCATCGTTTAAAAATATGTCAACTTTAGAAATGAGCTGGGTCCCACAAAAAGCCTGCTAAACATGATATACACTCAGAATATGAGCACAATACGTCATATATATATGAGCACAATACGTTATTCAGCTATTTATTTCCATTAGAATCTGTTTTTACTGAGTCTATTCAGAAACAATCAGAAATTTGAACTAAAGAAACATCTTCGTTTTCAGGTGTGAGTATTTAGGGTGTGGTAAAGCGTTCAGCAAGTCAGATCACCTCAAAACACACGTGCGTACCCACACAGGAGAACGGCCCTACAGGTGTAAAACCTGCCCTAAGGGGTTCAGTGACTTGGCAAACTTGAAACGACACGATAGGATCCACACCGGCAAAAAACCTTTCAAGTGAGTCATTTGTAGTACTACTGGGCCGCGCATCTTCTCGCCGCGCATCTTCTTTCAAATAAATTATTTGTAGCGCTACTATTGGTTTTTGGGATTTCGCGAATAAGTCACAAGCTATACGATTTCATTATTCACCTTTAGCTCACAAGAGATAACCCCAGATGTGAGGATTGCGATAAATGCTTTGCAGTGTCCAGCAACTTGAAACAGCACAAAAGAACCCACACTGGTCTGAGACCCTACGACTGTCACGTGTGTGGTAAGACGTTCAGTCACGTGTCCTCTCGGAGAAAACACATGTTACAGCACACCCCGGCTGGGTGCCATGCTCAGGATAAGGTTCGAGCAGAGCTGAAATAGTTAACTTTCTTAGACAGAACTTGATGATCTGAATTATAAACGACATTCTAACGTACTATTTGAAAACACAGCTTTTAATTTGTATCACATGAAACATTTCGGATGTTTCGGAAACATCTTGGATCTAGTTGGCAAACAAAAATAAAAATAACAAACGTCATCCCTTTTTAGGCAGGGAATACGACTATTGGTGACAGTAGAAGTTGTCAACTAACTGTCCCTACCACAACAAAACCAGTATACTCTTACACCAACAAATCAGTGATCCTCCAATATCCACCTCGATCCTACCTCCAACAATCATCAGTAGATGTGTTGCTCCCAGCTCCAGCACCACTTAACCCAGTAGGAACAACTTTCCCGCCAAGTCACGAGAGTGGGATCTCCACAGCAGGCAGTTACCTCCCTTCCCTGGTACCTAGCTTCACAACCAGCTCCAACCACTTCACTACCAGCAGGGTTGTGGAGGGGTGCTCTACACACCCTTACGTTTACAGTGGTCCCTTCTACGCGGGGCTCGCTCCCTGCATGCATACCCCTTACATCCAGACTACTTCCTCTCTCCCTGTCTCCACTAGATCTCCCTTCCCGGCTTCCTCTCACTACCCCTCCCCAGCAGTCACAGTGCCCTCTCCTCCTTCCCCCTACCAATCTCCTACCTCTCACCACTCCCCTACCTCTCACCACTCCCCCAACTCTCACCACTCCCCCAACTCTCACCAGACTTCTAGCCCTCACTACTCTAACCGCAATCCAAGCCCTCACCACTCCCCTACCTCTCACCAGTTCGAGCAACCGCAGGAGAACTTGTATCAGATTGACGGAAACTTCGACACCATCTCCCCTCCTAACAGTATCGAGTCTGTCCCCTCCCTGGAGGATCTCTACAGCTTCTTCGAGACCTCAGTCCTCAGCAAGCCAGCGGAGGAGGAGGTGGCGGGGTTGGTAGTGGGAAACCTGAACCAATCTCTGAGAGAGGACGTGAAGAAGGAGCTGGACTGCGAGATTAAACAAGAACGTCTGGACGAGTCTGAGGAGATTATGATTGAGAAGATTGTAAGTTTTTGCCCTGAGAGTTCTTCCTAAATATATTTTGTTTCATGTTCATATTCGTTCTAATTGCTATTGATCGAAGAAAGATAATTGAAATAACAAATATTTTCAGAAGCAAGATCTCCTGAAGTCTCTCTTTTACTGCGGCTGATCTCGAGTTTACCTTTTGTTGGATCTTTCTTAAAGATGGACATTGGACAGCGACGTGGATTGTGAATAGATAATTTTGTACCGGGGGACAAATGAGACATTTTAATTGTGAAGGATGATTACAGCTCAAAAAAAAAGTTTTTAAAAGTAAATTTATATGCAAAGTGCTAAAAAACCTCCGGGAAATGTTAAAAACAATTGTTTGATCGTATTTATTAGAGGTTGCTTTATCAGTTGGTATTTTGGTGACCATTCAGATTATAGTTAGTTCCTGCAGTATGAGGCCGGTATATTCCCTCATTTCTTCAACAGTTATAATATTCGACTGTTTTGTTCAGGTTCAATGTATTTCTTATCGTTCATGTCCCATAATGCGGACTAGTTTTATGAATTGGGTCGTATCAGACTCCCTTGGTAGTGAAATAGAATAAAGTTGATGAAACATGCGATATCTTAAATGTTTTGTTCGCGATTTATGTTAATTAAGATGCTAAGTGTTTCTATATTTTAGATTAAAATTAGATTAGTTTTGAGTGATGTTGACTCTTTATAAAGACTATATTATTTGACATTTATAGTATTTACACTTTTCAGACGCAGAAATAATTTTAGTTGTTGTGTACGGAATGAGATCAAATTATATTGTTTTTTTTTCAATAGCAAGACTTTGAATCTGAAAAGGTAAACATGACTTTCTGTTAACCTTCATTACGTCCAAATCTAACGTTCTCTACAGCTAAGGAAGTGATGAGATTTTTATACGATAATAATAAGCTTTTGTCAACAATAAGTTCTGTCAAATTGATGTTTTGATTTTTAACAGTCCAATCATCTTAATTGATTTTACCTTTTATATTGTTTCCGTTTAAGGTGTGATTGATTATGATAATATTTACTAGTATTGTATTCGTTCAAATATTGAAGCATTTACTCTACAGCCGAATGATTAAATTTTACCCAATCAGATACAGTTGATCCCGATTTGCTGGAAATTCCAGGAGAAATGTTTGCGGAAAGTTTATTTGGAATTTAAACTAGACTATAGAAAAATGTAGCACTTATGGGTGTAATCAAAATTTCACGTTAAGTCGCCATATCGTTAAATCGTGCCAGCCCCAGTCGCCCAGAGCACCTTGCTCTGGGCCTGGCACAGAGTAAGGTAATTTACGACTTTTTGGTGTTAAATCTAGAAAGTTCCCCTGGAGATTTAATTCGATTTCGTTAATCTAATTTAGTTCAATAGATTGATATTTAACAATTATAATATCATGATTGGTGAGCTGCTGATTAGCAGTATTATTATTATTATTAAGAAACTGTTTACACCATTAAAATATTCAAAACCCCTAAAAGAAATCAAGTCATCCTAAAATGGTGATCAGTACAGATCAAGACAGCTAGAGTTAAAATTTGTTTCTCCAAGCAACTCTATCATCGGCTAATATCTTAAGCTTATTAACTTATTAAGATCATTCAAAGAGTTAAGTTTTAAACCTCTACGGGTCAAATCATTCACAATAATCTTGAACAAATTCTTACGATGCGCACCGACGCGCCCTTTACAGTTTGTTGTGACAGCAAACTTTAACGCTAATGCAGCGGGGGAGTCATCAGCACTACGCAAGATATGACCTAGGAGCTTCCACCTTGCTTTAGGGACACGATCTGATAGCTTAACTGAGTTACATCTTAGGTATAAGTTTGCATTGGATATTGTTCCATGAGGCCAATAAATGTTCAGTAATGATCTAAGGTGTTTTCTATGGCAAATGTCTAGTTTTTCTAGTGACTTTGCAGTAGGACACCAACTACTGCAATTGTACATGATGATTGATACAATTTGGGCTTCGTATACTGCTATCTTTCTGGTAACGGAGATATTCTGCTGAGACCAGATCTTGGTGAACTTATAGAAGGCATTGTTCCCAGCAATGCATCGAGCAGCTATATCACTTTCACTACACAACAATGACCCAAGAATCTTACTCTTCCGCCAATCTTCATTTCCACGTAACATGGTATCATCACGACCAGGGATTGTTTCTCCAACAGGAGCGAGGAAAACATGGGTAAATTCTGTTTTCTCTATGTTAATGAACAGGTTAAACTCCTTGAAGACTTCCTTAGCTATTGGTAGGATAGCTTCTAAGGATTCTTTTTCCACGTTCATGAAGTTACAATCATCTGAATACGCTGACTCCAGTGGCATACCTTCTTTTGAAATAGGGGGATTGGGTATGTGTGGGGGAGACTCTGCTAGTCGATGGCGTAGTTCTATAAGAGCTCCTGCTAGGACAAGAGTGAAAAGCTTGCCGGAGAGACTGTCACCTTGAAAGGACCCAAGAAGACTCTCGAATACAGCAAATAGTTCTCCTTCCACTCTGACCTTGAGCATGGTGTTGGTTAAGAGGAGTCTTACTAGCCTGAGGTCGTCGTCTGTGCATCCAGCTTTGACAAGAAGGTCAAGTATAGTCTGGCGTTTGATTGTGTCAAATGCTCGAGACATATCTATGCCCATCTTGTGATACTGGAAGTGTTTACGCGTGACAACCGATATCAACATCCGCTCAGACCACACTAGATCACCACAACTTCTACCATGTTTGTACCCTGCCTGCGTGCTACCAGTGAAAGCATCAACTTTGTCTTCAATTCTCTTCAGTACAATCATGGATAATATCTTACGAGCACCATTTGATAGACATAGAGGTCGTAGACTAGTGACAAGACCAGCTGGTTTGCGAGGTTTCGGTAAGGGGGTGATGATGGCTTCACCTATAACATCAGGAAATGAATTGGTCTCCAATGCGCTATTGATGATCTCGGCATATTTTGATATAGTTACCTTCTTCATTGTGGACACTGATAGTAGATTTGGGCTTAGTGTCAGCTAGAGTACGCACAGCTTCAAACATCTGCCTTGTGTCATCTGTTGACATGATGGTTCGAGCGATGTCATCGGCACGTGTGTCAGCAAGGTTCTTGAGATGCTTACGGATGTCTTTCTGTAACCTGTTGATCCTTGTACGGACTTGAGTTCTGTCAGCAACTTGGTTGTTACAGTTAAGTGCAGCTTGCAGGGTTTGTCTCTCTTTTACAAGGGCTTCAACAGTTGAGTCACTACTGAAGTTACGGTTTCTGGAGCGTGGTAGTGTCCCGATTACTTCATCAGCAGTATATATTTACTTCATTAGCAGTATAATATTTGAAAACAAAAAGTGATTATGAGATTATTATCAATATTCAATAACATATTTACAATTAATTATGATCTTCGTTATTTTTGACATCTTACCTGAAAACTAAGTTCCTAAATAATTTCGTACTTGATTTCCAAACTCAAATACCTGATAGTATTAGTAACTGCATCAGTTTTCCAAAAGTCCAAAGAAAGAAATGGAAATATCTTAGCATGAGTATTAATATGTTTAGTCCGTTTGATCAAACGTAGTACTATTCTCCAACTCCTGAAACTTTGTGACTGTACTGCAAGATGAGCCCCAGGAGGGAAATTAGGGACTTTGTAGATTTTGATTAATTCACTGTGCATACGTGATTTCTTTCTAACCAGAGCCACTGGTATTTTGAACATCTTCCCACGATGTACGCTGTCGAAAGACCAGTGACTTAGTGGAAATTGAGGGATCGTTCCTTTGATGGTAGCACAATAGGTTATCGGATAACTTATCCTACTCTACTTCTAGATTGTGTAGACTGACCGTAGTACTGTTATCGAACTTCCCTACGAGTCGAACTACCGTCCATGTATCAACATAGTTCAGGGCTTGTCGAACTTTTATTTAGTATGTGTCAAACTATTTAGTATTTGTCAAACTTTATTGTGCGTCGATCTACAATACTTCTTTTTATAGTTAACAACTGTGTCGTTTGTAGACAAAAGAACTGATCACTTGTTGGAGTCGAAGCTTGACTGTACTCGCCTATCAAATATATATATAAATATACTTTCTCATGATTGCAACTCTTAGCTCCGATCGAATAACTCATCATGTTGGAGAGCCTTACGTCGATGGTGATATAAATTTGCATCACTTATTATCACAAACTGCTTTTAAGATTTTGTGAGTTCTAGGAGCATACAATTGTATTTGTAACAAAAATTGCGCCCGTTTTCTCGGAGGGAGACGGACGCGAAGATTTCCATTCCCTGCCCATACTCAGAATCAGATCATTTATATACATTTTTAACTTCATCATAGACTTTGACTTACAGTTTAAGTTAACCCCGATTTGCCGTTCCCATATTTACAGCCGTACCCAGTACGATATAGTTTCTACCCTTTCCCCAAAATTTGTAAATTAGATCTCACGCAATCCTTGGAAATACGAGTTATATCATGACAACGGTCAAGCGAGCTTGTCCGTTGTCCGGCTTGTCACTTCCCCAGTTCCCCTAATAATATAATAACCCCTTATTAATTGATTGCTTGTGAACCATAACATAATTGGGAACCAGTAGGACCAGTACAGAAAGAAACCATGTTATCAAACGGGAAAAGTAAGGCTATTATAGGGAATATTTAAAATTTAGTCGTTATTGCGAGTGGTACACTGGAAGAGCTTTGTAGTATAGTATGTTATGCTGTGCAGATTAAAATTGTGGGTTCACGTACTATTTTATTTTGCAAATGGGGTAAATGAGGAAGGAAACAACTTTCCCAAAAACCACCTTATATTTATAACGAGTTCTGTGCAGAGACGTGCAACACGGTTCTCATGGTTCCAATGTTGCATGCGTTGTTGGTTATAACAATAGCGGGGCCCGTTTTAATGAAGTTATACCAACTACTGTGCATATTTTATGATTTAATATTTAATTTTAGATTAATGAATTTACTTGTTGGTGCTCTCGTGTGTTGGCTGTTTCATTTGACTTACGAAACAGGTGAGCGTTCGTTTTAAATTTTATCCACATGTTTTAAATCATGTTTCTAAAATTCTTTTATTAAATCAATCTGTTTTTTAAGCAGTAGTAATCATTAACTATCTATGGCTCAGAAAAACAAAATGATTTTCCCTTAAATTAAAAAGGCTGCATGGTACTTTAGCCATGCTGATTGCCGCTCCTCTTTGTCATATCACTTCAACTTCATTTAAGATAATGAACACAAGACTTATTTTGTAAATTGTATTGATATGAAATTCACCGGCAAATATTTGTACTTCTGGGTCAAGTCATATAAAATCTATTTATGATAAATATGCATAAATTTCTAGAAAACTATGTTTTTATGGTGAACTTAATTTTGCCTTGTTATTCAATCAGTTTGTGCGAATGGCAGAGAACCATGTTCAGATGGTGACGGTTGTATCCTAACAAAATGGTTGTGTGACGGAGAAGAAGATTGTAATGACGGATCGGACGAGGATGATTGTGACGGTTTGTTTAAACTTAATTGTTAATCTTTGTTTGACTGTGCCAAACCATGTTTGACCAACAAACTAGGGCCAGTGACCAAAATTTTAAGGGGTCTTGGACTCCGGGCGCACACGGTTTCTCACGTGGCAGATATACCCATATTTTTTTCAAATTTTGGCTCAAATCTTTCAAATAAACTAATCAAAGTCATTATAAATACAATTGCATTATCACTGGCCTTAAAGTTAAAGTACTAGTAGAAGACCTCACAAGCAAAATGTCGCGTTTTCTGCTGCACATTAACAGATTTGACGACATTATACCATTGCACATAATATTAATATGGAAGGGGGTGCACGATAAAAAATAAACTTGCTCGGATTTAAAAAATTTTTGTACCATTGTTTTCTAGAGACTGTGAGAATTTTCACAATACCAAATTTGTCATACCTTTTTGGAAATATTTGACCATTGTTAATGGTCTGGCCCGGCGCGCGCTACTTCGTTGCACTTGCCGTCGGGCCATTTCGAGAAGAAAGCGGCGCGCGCGCTACTTCTAAGAAATTTAGATGAGTAACATCCGTCAAGAAAAGATCAATGAGTTTTGCCTAGTATATAGGTGCCATATTCGATGGTGCGCGGCTTTTGGAGCAAAATTAGCTGTAAAAGTCGCGTAATTTGACCAAACTCGTTGATTTTTGTCGTATTATTCGGATATATCTTCGGTTCCTTGAATGAGATCATTTTGAAAATTGGCGACGACCTTCCAATAGGGCTTTCACAACTGTCCAAAAAATTTGGTGGATATCGGAATTGATATAGTGATCAAAATGGGGCAAAATACGCTGCTTTTAGCTGTAACATAATGTTTGATAGTTGGATACGCTTTAAATTTTTCGGACACTTTCTTAATTGTAAGTCTATGTTGTCATACGTTGTATGACCCGCCTGTATCGTAGAAACTAGAAACTCTACTATAGTGAAGCTACAGTGGGGGTCACCACGTGATACAAAGTCTATGAGTAAGCTTACCAATTTTTGTTGCAATCGGAGGTCGGGAAGGATAGTCAATATCTATTTGTTTGAAGAAAATTGTGCTGGCCGAAATTAGCGCTAAAAAATTGACCATTGTTAATGATCTGGCCCGGCGCACGCTACTTCGTAGCTCGTGCCATTTCGAGAAGAAAGCGGCACGCGCTCGCTCCTACTAAATCGCTCGCCCAAATTTTAAGAAAATTCTTGTGAAAAGGCCCTTTAGGCATGAAAGTGATCTGAATCGGTGTATTTTTGGACGCTGATTCCGAATCACCCCACATGACGTAGGCTTAAAATGCTTCCCTGGAGAGTTATGGGCAAAAAACCGTTTTGGTCACGTGACAGGCTAGTAAAACGTGAATTCGATTATTTAGGGCTCGGGTTAGGGTTAGGGTTGTGTTTAAGATTATGGATAGCTTCGGGGTTATGGTTAGGGTTAGGGTTGAGATAAGGGTTTATGTAAAAACCGTTTTGTACGGCTGCAAAACCAAAAAAACCAAAGTCACGTGAAATTTTTGGGCGAGCGATTTAGTAAAAGCCGCACGCGCTACTTCTAAGAAATTTAGACGAGTAACGATCCGTCAACTAAAAAACCATCCTACAGTCGGCACGCGCGGCTCACTGTCGATGGTGCACTACCTAAATATGGTATATAAAAGTATAAAGATGTAACACATTAAAGGCCCTCTGGCCTTAATGTCTTATAATGATTGAATAATTATGGAAAGCAGTTCAGCGAAACTCAAAGTCCAACAATTGTGTTAACCCGACTTAATTTAGCTTTGGTTTTCAATTAGTGTGTGTGGGAGATGGTTTGACAAAATGTAGAGATATTAACGGTAAATGTGTCCACGACGCTATCTATTGCAACGGAAATGTAGACTGCGCTGATTCATCGGACGAGGATGGATGTGAAACTGAAGGTTTGTTTAAACAGTTAAACGTAATCTTTGTTCCACTTTGCCCCCAACCCTGTGTTAAAATACATCAAATCTTTAAATCAAGTGAGACAATCAAGCCCGGTTGGATTTTTATTCACGATGTCAATCCTTCGCATCTCGCCGATCTGCATAAGTGGTTGCGAGAAGCATTATTGGATGCGAGAAGCATTATTGGATGCGCGCGCGCGACCCAGTAGTGCATCGCGCTACAAGTACAAGGTTGGATTACGTAATCAATGAATGAAGTCGATTTAACTATGTCTATAGCTCTATAGATTCTACCGGGATAGTAAGTGGAAATAAATGGAAAGAGCC